GGCAAATCTGAGCAAGAGTGTCTGACAGCTTCCAGTAAGCATGTGGCCAAAGTGCATCGAATTCATAACAGCTTAAAATACTTGAAATAAACTGTACCTGATGACTCAGTTTCAAAAATGTGCTGTACATTCTTTTAAAGGGAAGGGACAGATGAACTAACTTTCACTTCAAACCTCCCATCCACGCTAGAGAAAAAGCCAACCTTTTCTCCTACTCCATGAAGACACAAGTTGTCAGCCACAATCATTTGGTCTTCCACAGCAGTTAATGACCCACATGAAACAAATTCTCAGGGTCTCAGGTCAGACCCTTGTGACACAGTTTGTTGTCTAAACCAGTCACATTCTGAAACCTCAGCAGCCCAACCTGAGCCAGCTATTGACAAGTTACCTTCTGTTTTCCACCATGACCAAGAAACACCCACAAAGTGAGGAGAGCTGGGACAGAAATCTTGGGGAAAAAAAGGAGTTGTGGAAAAATGCACAATTAAAATTAGTATTCTCTGTTTCCACAGTTTTGCCCAGTTTTGAATCATTTGCTGCTTTAACTAAAGTCACACTGCTTAAGATGTTTGGCTTCCATTAAAAATAAAGTCCAAGTCCAAGGTTGCATGAAGATAGGGATAAACTTGCAAGTCTGGTTCACCCTGAAGGACACCAATTCCTTAAAAATGGAATGGCGGGGGCAGCACATGTGGCTTAATTCACAGTTTTTGAACAGTCAAGGCTAGCAGCAGTATCTGCCCAACTTCTTTGCTCATGCACCCCATTTCTTTCCAAACCCTGCAGCAGAGGAGCTGTGAAACACCTCAGGACACATCAGCTGCACTGGAAGGTGCTACACACCCTTGGTTTCTTCACTGCCCAGCACATTCCCTGGCATGCCAACAGTTTCCTACTGCTTGAACCACAGTCCTGCAATATCACTCAAACACAGATGGCTTTGCCAGAAACTGTTTCTGCCCTGACCAGCACCTGGCACACAGAGGGCAGCAGGTGGCTTCGGTCTCCTCCCTTCGTAGTTCTACTTACTTTTGACTTGAAGAGATTTAACACAATTATAAAGGCTGGCCAAGCATCTCCCTTTGAAAGGGAGCTGCCTTTTCTTCTCCATCCACAAAAGCCAAGAGAACCACACCGAGGAAGACTCCTTCCCAGGGACACTCCCAGTTGGACAGAGCCAGGATTTAGGGGTGCCACCATTAAAACTCAAGCCAGTGGTCACTTGGCGTATGAAGGAAGATGCTAACCATGCCCAGGAGAGATTACTTTCACATCACAGCATACTAGGTCACAAGCCAAAAAGAATTCTTTTTAAAAACTAACAACAACAAAACCCACAACAACAGCAAAAAACAACAACAACAAAAAAATTTAAACAACAATCAAAACCAGACAGAAAACCCCCACACCATCCCTCAGACTGTTCCCTTCAGCAGCATCACACTGAACCACGTACACAATAGAGGGGCCAAGAACCCTGCCCAGGCTGTCCACAGCTCCTCACTCCCATCCCCCGTGCCAGCTCCCTGCAAGCCCCTCCTGCACCCCCAGCAAACATCCCCAGGACCGCCTTCACCCACCCACAAACTCTGCCTGACATCTGTAGCCCCGGGAGCCCTTCAAGCCCCACCAGCCGGGTAGAAGGCTTCCCAAACAAGCAGAGGCTCCAGCCGCCGGCCTTGCTGGGTGTTTTTCCCCCGGCGGCGCGGCTGCCCGGGCTCCCAGCGGGAGCTCCCAGCCCCGAGCCCGGCGGCCCCGGGAGCGTGTGGCACACGTGCGCGCCCGCCGCTGTCAACAACTTCCAGCCACCGTCCCAGCGGGCAAGCCCCGGGGGCGGGGGGCTGCCCTCCGCCCCAGCAGCGATCTGCCTTGGGAAAGGCCGCTCGGAAGCAGGACAGCGCTTTAACAAAAATAAAGCGCACCTTAATATTATCCTTAACAGCCAGAAAGGTCACGACGTGGAGGTCCATAAGGGGGGAGGGGAGGGAGATGGGTAAGGGGAGGGGAAGAAGGGGGGTGGCAACGCACAAACCCCCACGGTTTTAACCGTTTGACTGCCGTAAAAAAGGAAATAATGTGAAGTAAATGGAGACTTAGGAGACGGACAGAGCCCCACGCGAGGGGCTGCCCGAGCCCCCGCCCGCCCTTCACACGAGGGAAGGCGGCGGAGGGAGGATGTGGGAAGCAAATACACCCCCAGCAAACGCCGCACACGCCGGGGTCCCTCCCCACACACACACAGCCCCTCACCGCCGCCGCTTACCTGCGCGGGCCGGCGGCCCTCAGGGTCCCATGGCAGCCCCGTCCCGCCCCGCCCCGCCCCGTCCCGCGGCGGGCACAGGAGCTCCCGAGCCTTTGTTGCGCGGAGGGAACGGGAACGGGAGCGGGTCCTGTCAGCTCATGTGACGCGGCGGGCTCGGTCTCCGCCGCCCCTCCTTGCTGCTCTCCCCTGCCCGCCCTCCGCCGGGCTGAGCGCAGGCCCCGCAGCCGGGAGCGGGTCTCGGGCCCGACTGGCGCTGGCGGAGCGGCGGCGGCGGCGGAGGGGCTCGGAGGCTCTGGCAGCCGAGCGCTGCCTGCCTGCGGCGGGGGGCCGGGCGGGCCGTCCTGCCCCCGCGGCAGACCCCGCTCTGGCTGCGGTGACACCGAGCCCGAGCACGGCGTTTGTTCCCCTCCTGAGGCTGCTCCGGTGCGCTCGGGGCCCTGCCGCACAGGCCCGGGCCTGCCGCTGCACTCAGGAAAGTAAATAAAAGCCTAATTATGTGCTTTCTAGTTGGGGCTCGCAAGGAAAGAGAGGAAAACCCCTCGTTTTCTCGAGAAGAGATCTGAGAAATAGCAGTACTGGATCAGATCAGCATCCTGCCTTTGAGATTGCTGAACAGACAAACCCTAGGAGTCGGCTACAAGAAACAGACCATGACCATGACCATGATCCTGTGGTCAGGCACTTACCAACAGCTGGGGTCTTCGTATTTAACAGTTCTCAAAGGATTTTTTTTTTTAATGCATTCAGTATTTTTGGTTTTGAACCATTTGAAATGTTTGTGTCTGCTCCATCATGCAGCAAGCATCCAGCTTTCTTCTCCAGAGAGCGTTTAATCATCTTCTTTTGTTTGCCAAACTCTAAGTAGGGGGCAGAGAGAGATTACCTTCCTGCAGGTATTTAAAACCCTAATATGCCGTTTTTCTTCACAATCCAAGACCAAGAAACAAACACCACAAGCCAGGCCTTGTAGAGGAAACACAAGTGACATTTCTATCAAAAATGCAGACAGCTCAGAAAACCTCGGATTCCCTCATCAAACACAACCACCAATTCAATGAGCAGCTTCCCTGCCATCCCAAGATTGCTATTCCATGGGAATCACCTTCCTAGACACCACAGCTGACCTTAAAAATGGCACCCCAAAAGCCAGCACATACACGAGAACGCACAGACCATCAAACGTGCTCTATAGAGCAGTGCAATAAGATCAGCAGCCATTCACAACACAACAAAAAGCTGTGAGATTCAGCCAGTCCTGCAGATACTGTTACACCTGCTCTGAGGGGAACACCAGTGATCTGCTTCATACACCAAGGTCACTCTTCCGTAAAATAGATACAAATTTACTACAATAAAGATACGGTAGCAACAACAGCAATTTTGGAAAATAACTTTTCAAGGAATCGAGGCTTATTTGGTGTTTGTCTAATGCTACCAAAATTAACAGGGATTGGCAAAGTCTCTAACCACATTAGCTCTGTGCCAATCTGTTTTTCTGCTTTTTATTTTAGTCCCTGCTGTAGCATTCTCCCCTGCAACCACGTGCTCCTGCTGATGATAATACTCCATGCTAAAATCCACTCATAAAATAATCTCTTAAACTACTGGCTCTGAAAGGGTGTTTTTTCCCCCATGTCTCTCCTGCTAACCTTCAGGCTCTCCCTTTTGCAACTCATTACAGGAAGCAAATCCACAGATGCAAACATAAGAAACAGAACCAGATACCACCACAGCATCAAATATGAAATATCTCGGTACTGCCTCACAGACAGCATTATCAATGCCCTTCCTCCCATAGCAAATCTGCCAAAATTCTTTGTTCTTGCATGTATTTGTTCCAAATCTCTACAGTTCATCATTTCATCTAGCACAGGAGATACCCCCACAAAACCATGAGAATGAAACTAAATAATTGCTGTCTTACAACAAGCACATACAGTCAGCCAGGAAAGGACATGAGGAGAGTATTTGTCAGACTGCAACAACGTGAACGCTTCAATCCTTACCCCAAAGGAGACCAAAACCTGCCCAAAAGCTAAAGCTTGGCATTAAAACTTATAATCCCTCGATACTAAAGCTATGGATTTAAAGGAGATGTTGCCTGCCCAGCCTGTTACAGCCTCCCCGCTGACCTCTCCTTTGTCACCAGCACAAACAGCCCTTTTTCATAGAGGTCCATGAGAAAACCAGCAGCCTGCCAGTCACTGCTGTTTACACCCCTCTCCACTTCATAGGTGCTCCTTTTTTTCTTTTTCTTAAGTGGTCCAATTGATTAATATAATTAGATTAAACTAAGAGCAATTGCATCTAACCTGTAGCTAGCTTGAATATTGCTGTTTTCTGTCAGATCTGATAAAAAGACCCTGAGCCCAATAGCTGTTTGCTTTTTCTAGTTCTATCAGTTGATCTAATACAAGATATTACCTTTCACCACAAACCTTGCCTCCCTAGGATCTTTACACCATCATGGCTGCAATACCATTTTAATGTTTTGCCTTAACTGATTCTTCCATATTCTCTTATCTATGAAGTAGGATATGATAGAATGTGTTCACTTCTGTATCACTTCTTACACTGTTTTCATAAACATAATATTCAAGCACTTTCCAGGACTGCATTAGCTGCTCTGAATACCTTCTGTCATATGAAGGGATTGGTTTTTTTGTTTTTTTTTGTTCTCTCCCCAGAAAGAAAACGATGCATAGAGCAAAGTTTTGGGTTCATGATTGTTCCGTCCCCTTTATTCATGTTGCTCTGTGTTTATACCATAGAAAATGAGGACAATGGCAGTTCATGTGACAGATAGACCTTATTTCCCAAGGAAGCTAATTTCAGAGTGTTGTGCCACCCATAGAAACGGTCTCCTGCACAAAGCAACATTTTACTATGTCATTCCCCACCAAAGAAAAGCTAATCCATATTCTTGACATTTGGGACAGAAACTTCCTAAGGCAAGAACAGCATTTTCTTTTCTCCAGAAAAAGAGTTCCAACCTGTGATCCTCAGTATGCGACATTCAAACAGATTGTGGCAGATTATTAACATACAGGCCAGTGCTCTATACAGTTATAAATAGGAAAATCTGGAAACCAAAAAGAGTAACACGCTTTTTAATTGCACTGAGGCAGAGATTACCATAGGACAGCCTGGAAGGGAAATGGTGGAGACAGATTATTTCATGCTAAAAAAAAGAGAGGGAATTTACTTATGTGTAAGGAATCACACTGCTGTTCCTCAAAGAGGAACCCTGAACGATCCCACGTGTCTACAAAGGCAGTAGGTACAACACATGAGCTGCTGAAAGACAGAAATTGAGGTGAAGAGAGGAATCATCTGTGCTCAAGCACTGAAAGCAGAAATGCCAGAAGACCTCGGGGAGACAGTAGACAGCAGATTTAATATGTTTTTGCAATGTGATATGGCAGCAAAAATCATGCACTTAATTTAATTTGGGGTTGTAAAGGCAGAGACCTCTTCTCAGAGATACAGGCAATAGTCCCATTTTTTAATATAGTGGTGAGACCGCAGCTCGAAGACATGTTTAGCTCTGGACAACGCGGTGCAAGCTACATGTCAACAACTTGGAGGGAAATAAAACAAGAGGAACACAAAAAGATGGAAGGGATTACAGCATGTGTAGGTTGGCCAAATAACAACTGTGAAGAGCATCATGGGAATTGCAGGTGAGAACTTCAGGGGCAGAAGCACCAGGGAGCAAGAAGGAATGTTTAGGGTTGTCTGAGCGAGTATAAATGGGATAAATATAAAGTAAATTAAGTAAAGGAAACATTAATCTACAAGACTGCAAGACAGCATCCCACAGGAGCTCCCACCACCTGATTCACATCACACAAGACTATGGAAACAAGCACACAAGAAACCACTAAAGAAACCCTGACTGCAGGAAAGGATTGCATGAGGACAAGATGCCTTTGGGACCATTTAACTGCTCACAGACTGGGACATCTGCAGAGCAATAGGTCCCAGCCCAGTACGTGGAAATCTCCCTTCTCCACACCATTGCTGGAGGCACTTGTAGACCAAAATAACCATGTTGGTAACCATAGATGGAGTCTTGTATTGAGAAGGGCTGTGGGGGGGAAGGTCTATTGTCAGAATTTTTCCCTTTTATCACTATGACTTCCTTGAGATGTCACGGGCTCACCATCTGCAAGAAAACAGCAGTGATGTTTTAATAAACATTCATTTGGATTACACAGACCTTGGAGTAGATGTCTTGGGCAGCACTAACCTCTTCCAAGGTCTGTGGCAGATAGAGTTGTTAATTAGAATGAAAAAAAATCTTTCATATTCCATAGTTAGAGGGATGAAACCAAGACAGGATGTAAAAGATGTAACATAGGAAAGCTTGCACCCATAATACCTTTACATCACATTGTGCCATCATATTTTCTAGCCTGCCTGTTATACAGAAAAGGAGACCTGACAGTTTAATATGTTGCTTCAAAGCAAGGGCTGATACACCATGTCACTTCTAAGCCCAGATGTGCCACACACTCATGGCTGGGGGGAAGAAAAAACAGGGGAAAAAAAACCCCAAACAATTTTATAAATGTTCCGTAGAGAGTCTGAATGGCTTTTCTTTTAAATTTGGTCTGTATTTTTTAAACACCACCCTTTAGGGAGGCATGTGCAGTGATCATTATCAGTTCACCCATAACAAAGCACACAGAGGTATAGTCCCCCATAAGTGTTGACCTTAAATTGTCTTCCTCTACATAGAAATGTCATGAGCTTCATGAAGGAAACCTTTCTGCTTATTTATGTACATGAAAAACATGGCCTAACACACACAAATATACAGCAAATGTAAGTATACTAATATTTGATATAATCTTGTAAGGAATTACTGAAGCATATGCTAAAATTAATCCATCACCCCCCCCCAGCTTATCACAAACCTGTGTCTGCTTCATTTGCACTCTGCTTAATGGTCCATCTTTCTCAGGACAACATGTTACAAATCTCTGTAATTTCATGCTCTTACCTTGCAGACCATGCTTAAAGAAAAGGAAAAAAAGTAAAGAAAAAAGAAGCATTTTCTCCTTTCTTTCAAATGTAGTTCTTGTCTAAGTGCTTGGAAAGGCACTGTCAGCTCTGAAAATTCAAGATTAATCAAGCAATTAAGAATTGATATCTAATGACTTATCATGACTGGAAATGAGAGATGCTGCATTCATTTTAGCTCTGCAAGAACCCAAAATAGCTAACCTGATTTTTATGGACAGCAAGATCTTAAACCTTTTGGGGAGAACAGTTACAATTCCTTCTATTAAAGTGGTTCTTCAGAACCCCCACCTGCATTCTGCACCTTTCTTAGCAAAGGGCCAATCTGCACAGAGGGCCATGCTGGAAGAGCTGCATACTTCAGATTCACACCCTGCCTTTACCTGAATGAGTCTGAAAGTGTACAGAAATCCCAAGAGAGCCAAGATGAAGTTTTGCTTTCTCTCCCCCATGTGCCAGCACAGCATTGCATTTCACTGCCTGAATAAAAAACCCAACTGAGCAGGAATTAGATCACTTCAAAACTGTAGTTTCCTTTAAACATTAAAAAGAATGGCAAGCATTTCTATTCGCATTACTATCAGCATTATCACCTCACCTCACACCTCCTTCTCCAGCATCTAATTGTGATGGTAGGGACTTCCCTGCCTCCTTCCTTGGGAGTGGAGAGAGCCTTTGCAATTCAGCTGCAGTCATTTGGTTTCTTCTCCATAAGCTCAGGAACTTCAGCAATCAGAAAGACTTCATGGGTTGGATGAACAACAACTCAGCACATTCCCTCTGTAAACATTTATTTGGAGAATTACAGCATACATATTTGGACTTTTTATGGTAATTTGGATCTGATAAGCTTTCCTTATTGCAAAAATGATGGATGCCTCTGTAAAAGAGAGGAGTAACTTCTTCTGCAGCTTTACAACCTCAGCTAGGCAGATGCAGGTCTTATTGATACCTGCATGAGAAATCAAAAGTGAAAAGCATAGTGCAGCAGAACCCAGTGCTGGTGACTCAAGAAGAAACTTTACTTTTCCCTAAACTATAAGTAGCTCAGCAGGTCTTACTTACCCAGCTACTGGTTTCTTCCTGGACAACCTGATAGAATTAAGAACACAGAAACCTGAATTCTTTTCCAAACTTCGCCTCTGATGCTCTGTAGTCTTGGAAAAGTCATTTAAGCTCCCGACTCTCCATTTTTTCCATGCATGAACCTGAAATGACATACTGAGCCTTGTAAGAACTTCTGAAACCTTTGATTTTAATAGTACGTGTCAGTGCCAAAAGCACCATTACGGGCATTACAGCACTAATTCTCTCACAAGGGAGGGAAGCTCACTGTGTCACAGGTATTTTGGATACAATTATTACCCCTGGAAGTGCTCAGATATCATTGCACAAAATTGTAGGCAGATGAATCTTTCAGATGGGATAGAAACCAGAGGCCCTGACAGGTTATTAAAAGACATAACGTTTTGAAGAAGCCCATATGTTAGCTTTTTCATGTTCACCCTGTTCCAATTTGGATAATTACGTTCTAACTCTTTAAAGCAGGGTGGCTGACCTGCCTGGCCCTACCAGCTGTATATCCAAATCTTCATGTGGCCCAGAGTGATACAACACAACCCACATATTTCAGAAAGCTGAAGGAAAAGAGGAGCTCTAGGAGAGGTTCATCAGCTAGTGAGAAAGATTTCCTCCTGGAACGGGAGCCCTCCCCTCCTGCTGAAACAGTCCCTCCCTGAGAAGCAGCTTCTCTGTGTCACTTCCCACAGGAACCTGTCCGGTACTGTCAGGGCACCATCACACTTTGTCCCCAGGCAGCTGCACAGTGGCAGCTCTCTGATGCACAGATGCTGTGAACATTGAAGATTCACTGCTCACAACACATTCCAGCAGTTTACAGGCCTAGTTATTAATAGTGAAGAACCTAGTGACATACTAGTTACTAATTGTAATCTGCATTTCTACTTCATTATTAAGAAAGAAAAACATTTCATCCCTCACAATAAGTGGAGCCTGGCTTGTCCAAGAATCAAGGAAAAGAAGACACCGAAGGTTCACTTTCTTCTCTTGGAGATCACTGGTGCTCTGTTGAGCTGCTCCTTTTTTCTTCATAAACTCTCAATGATAATTCACTGTGTGTTGCACATCTTGACCACCACAGAAAGAGCAATATCTGAGCCTTCATCAGTTTCCTGACATAGGAAAGAAGAGAAGCAGCATATGGTGCAAAGAATTTTTTTTCACCATAGACACACATTTTCCCAAACCCAAGATAAGATTCTTCCAAATGGTGAAAGAAAGTGGTGGCAATTCCAAGCAGCCCCCAACATCTGGCTAATTTTGGATTTCAGATGCCACTCTGACCCAGAGATGGTGTCAGCAGCCACTCTCCTGTCCCTTGCATGGGCAGTCCTGTGCCCAGACATTGGTATCTGATGAAGCAATTGCTCCAGACATCATGGATGCAAAAGAGGGCAGCCTGTCCTGTTCCCATCTCTTCACAGGTGCTGGTGGCACCTGGGCCAAGGTGCAGACCTTTAAGGAGTGTCAGAGTCACCAGCCCCAGGGGTAGCAGACAGTCCTGGCTGGGGATGTTCTGTGTGCCTGTAGCTGCCCACCCCCAGGGAGTCTGTGGTCTGAGGGTTACCAGGAAAGCTGGCGGGGGCATGTGGGCACGCAGGGGACAGGGAAGAGAGCAGAGAGGACCTAGGGCACCATCTGGTGGCTTCACTCACTGCCTTCCCTAAATCCTTGTCTCACGGGGTCATTATATGGCATGGCCAAGGGCTAAAAGAACACCAAGTCCTCCCAAGAGACAGCCCAGCTGGAAGAAGAGACCCCTGCCCTTGGCCCAGACTCACACACCTGCAGGGCACTCTGGGTAGGACAGCAGTGCAAACCAGAGCCTAGCAACCATTTTTCATGGGTGCTGCGCAGTCAAGTGCTTCCCTTGATAAAGAACCAGCCCTAGCTGGGTATTTAGAGATGATTTGCAGTAGAGACACCCCTGAGAAGGCTAAAGAAGAGAAGACAGAAGTGATGAAGGAGAACACTTTGGACACATGTTTCACTGGCATTATCTACCACAGTAAGGTCCTGTCTGCAGATAAAGGCAAAATATAGTTTGCACTGTTTTGTATGACAAACCAGTACCCATGCAAGAGCTTGTCCTCTGCAGAAAAAGATCAAATCAACAAACCTCTCAATTGCACCCTGGTTTTTGCCTTCTCAAATAAGAATTTGCTGTAAAGCATTATGAAGGAGTCCATTTAAAGGAAATAGATGACCTCAGTGTCACCAGCACCCTTTGTGGCAGTTCACTCTCAGGACCAAAGGCACATGTCTGGTGATGTGGGCAAAGGATCCTAGTCCAAACACAGCACCTCCTTTAGAAGAAGGCAAGCAGTGCACTTCCACCTCACAGGATGCTTACTTTGGTAACAGGCCTCCACTTCCCTGAAATCCTGCCAATAGAAAAGGATAATTCAATCCCTGGGAATCAAATGTTATACCACTACCAGGGAGCCTGCTCTGTGCATAAGAGCACCATGCTGGGGGAAGCAAGTGAAGCTGAAGCCCTTAGAGACAGTTTTTAACAGGAATCCATTCTCAGCAAAATGTACAGGGTGAACACAATAAGCCAGTCACTGCTTCTCATATTTGTGAAGCTGGGGAAACTGATCCATCATTTCCTTTTTTTTTTTCCCAATTGCCTAACACTTAGAAATGAACACATTTCCTCTTGCTAGTAGCACTCATTTTTTGCACCTATCCTCATGGGCCACAGAGCCAGGTAAGACAAAAAGACCAAATGACAACAAAAAGATCAAGTGACTGCCTTTTCCCTGAACAAATCTCTGCTACAAAGTAGCTATACCAATATTATATAAATTATATTTCATAGTCTCTCCTACCTGTGCCTTCAGGCACTTCCTCATACCACCTTGGAAAACTCCATACCATTTAAAAACATCCCTGCTCTCACAGCCTTCTGCTTTATGCTTTTCTCTCTCACACAAGCTGTTGCTGCTGTGGCTGCCCATGGTGCATAATACTAAAGAAGTGATTTTAGGCTGGGGCTTCATAGCTTTAAACTTCCTTTTCCTCATGCAGCAGCCTTTTGCCTTCCTCAGGGCCAGCCCAAAAGCCATTGAAATCAACACAGCAACCCCCACCCTGATACTGGCACACAGCCCAAATCCTCACATTTGCCAGTGTTTCTTAGAAATTTTTCATTTTTCACTTAATTGATCAGAACCTGGTGTGATTCTTCCAGTACTTCAGCACTGACTGTTCTAGAATAGCATTTTCCATTCCAAATACTGTTCTTTCTCTCATGTTTTATTTTAAACAGCTTCAGCTTTTTAATATAGAATTGTTCAGGCATAAATGTAAGAAACATGCTACTTTAAAAGGTAACAGAAACACAAGACAAATCAACTCACTGCAAAGAGAGATCCTTGCCCAGAAATTTCCAGTAGCATCCAGTATTTTTAACGTTTATAAAATTTAAAAAACAAAACACAAAACCTAAGCATCATTATTTTGAAAGTTTTTACTTTTCATCTAATCCACCAGCATCTGCTGAATATTTTATTGCCATACTGCAACATATTTATAATTCATCTCATCATTTCTTCAAATTTGTTAAGGAAAGGAATTGTTATACCTGTACAATCCTCTGTAAATTCTTCTGTGAACACAAATATTTCCTGGTCGTATTAGTAAAATGTAAAACTTTTTACTTCAAAAATATTTATAATTGTTATGATCACTTAAGAAATTATAAATGGATCTAATAAGACGTGCTGTCCATTCATCGCCTTTTCTGAAATGAATTTCTCAGTGCTGGGAAGAGAAAAAACATTTTTCTGTGGTTAAAGAAAGTCCAAATTGCATGTTTGAAATGGTTTCTAATAAAAAGAGCAAAGCAATAAGCGGATTATCTCTTTAAACATGGCATAGGAAGGTTGGAGGCCCCGGAGACATTTTCCACAGCCTCTATCTCTGATACATAGCAACATTATCTTCAGCTAGAGAGGGTCCTATGACCCTGGAGCTCAATTTTAATTTGATCTTCTTCTTTAAAGAGGTTTCTACAATTCCTCTCAAGTTATGCTGCATATTCTTATTTTGGGTTGGCTTTGTTTGGTTATTTCGTTGTTGTTTTTAATATGAGATAAAACAGCCTCAGCTTTTTGATGTGCTGGTTTGATCATGTTATACAGCTATTTACTATAACATCTTCCCTATCAGAAGCAGAAGATGCATCAACACAAATGGTAGGCAAGTTCCAGCTGACAGGGGAGAAAGAACTTGGATAGCAAATTCACTTCTAAGGCCTCCTTCCTCCGGTCGTTCTAAGTTTCAGAACTGATCTCCCTGGCCAGTAATGTACGGTGGGGGCGTGTAAAGGAGCTTTGTACTCTACCCCAGCCAGCTGAAACAAAGGCAAACCGATTGGTTTTGGTGGGGCAGAGGTACCATGCCTGCTCCCACAGAGGCTCAAAATCCCAAGCGATGACAATGGCCACTGCCAAGAAGAAAAGGAAACCGGCGAGCTCCCCTCGGACTTCGGCAGGCTGGAGCCTGGCCCCAGACCCGCCCGGCTTAAGCAGCCCCAGCAAGAGAGTTTCCTCACGTTCCCACCTCCTTGTTCCTCTTTCTTGCTCTGGAATGGGCACTGAGACATAGACGTTGTCAGGAAGGGATATTTTCTCTGTGTTCCTTTTCTCCACCTTTATCTCCATCAATGCATCCGGTCCTCACCGTGTACTGCTGATATTGCTGAAGGGGAAGCATTTTCTTAGAGGCACTGATTTGAGTCGCCCCAGTAAGGTCGCAGCAGGCATCTGTGACTACTTGATGGGATTAGCAGATTATGAGAAAGCGTGTTTGCTGTGGGGCTCCTGAGAAAGGGAAATGCGCAGGTGGATGCTTGGATCTGATTAAACTATGCATGAAGTCCTGATGGCCATTTCGGCAAAGTCGCAAGCATAGGATCAGATGAGCGGCTGCAGGTCAGGATCGGAACATCAAGCCAGCAAATAGGGAAGTCTCTGGATTGTCCTGCCACTTGCAGAGAGGATCAACAGTTAAGTATTTCAGCCGGGGCAGGTGAGAGAAACCTTCACAGATTGCCCATTCCCAAGATAAGTGCTTGACAAAAGCAGCTTTTCTTTTGCATCAAACAGCTTTGCAGCAAAATAGCTTTGCTGCATCAATGCAGACTGAGCCCCGAGGGATTTCAACAGATACATTCTCTTGTTAATGAAGGGCAGTTTAGAAGGGGCAAGGGGTTCACAATTCCCTCGTGGTTGTGCTCTGAAGTCAGTGTGGATCTCTCCGTGTATCTGCATCTCATCAGGGATGTAAGAGAGTAGCTCTGCCATAGAGAAAGATGTCTGGTATCTTCCCTGTTAGATATTCTCATACAATGTATCAGAGGATTCTTCTAGAGTTTCTTGCTTCTTAGGTGTCTGCAGAATGATGAAAAGGAGAAAAATGAAATGGAGGAAAATTATTCAAAAGATGATTAATTAATTCTTAATAAGCAGACACTGACGTTTGTTCTGTTAGAAATGGCTATAAGTGATCTGCTGAAACAGAAGCCACTACAGTGAGAAATGCTGCTCCACCGGAGACGAACGTGACTAATCCAGCCCAAGGGATAAAGATGCCTCCTCCTTTACGAGTCACTCTTCCCCAAAAAAACTGTCAGACAGGGAGGGGAGGGAAAATTGGACTCCGTAAGAAAATAAATCACTTTGGATTCTGTGAAGGAGGAATTCCCTGACCTCCTCAATCCTGTTTCTTCAACAGTTGAGTCTATTCCTCACGACCGTTCCTTGTGTAGACAAGGCGCTGACAGACTGATATTTTAAGTGCTGTGTGGCACAGGCCTGCTGTAAGCAAGGTTACACAGCAAGCAGCTAAAATGCCACCGGCTGAACTGAGCCCTACCTACACTAGCATTTTCTCTGCTGCCACCACCAAAGGGAAACTACAGAAGTGCTGAGTGGAGGCACCTCCAAAGCGTGCAGGATTAACCCCTTGCTATCCAAACTGGCCACCAGTCCAGAGTGACAGCATGCAAATGCTCTCTTCCTGAGGCTTTCTGCCCTGCTTCCCTTTACAGCTCCCCCTCAATTGTGCAGGCTCCCACAGCAAGGGTTGGGCTGGACCCCCTGAAGCAGAGTGAGCCTCCAGACCAGCACAAGAACTGAGGACACTTGGAGTTGTCTGCTCTCAGTGTGAGAGTTCACCCCATCCCCTCTCTGCTTTTTTCTCCTCTCTTTCTCCCATCCCTGCTTTGCCTCTACCCCACCCTGGCCGAGGCTGCCAGTGCCAGACTCACTCACACACAGATTCTCCTCTGCTGTGTTTGTTGCTGCTGTGTTTTACAGACCCTCTGTCCCTCCAAGCAACAGCTGAATGGTGTGGGCCACACACAAGCAACTCAGCACAGCCTAGACAGCTCCCTGGTAGGGAATAACCCCACACATACTTCATCTTACCATCCAGACTGAATCATTTCAGAGGGAGCAGCTGGTAAAGGTATACAGAAGAATAAACAGGATCAGAAAGAGGGCCCTTATCCAAATAATTCAAAATGCAGCAAAACACAAATGCAGGGATGCTGTCCTTTCCAATGCATCATATAAGACAAGCCCATATGGAACAACCCATCCTTCTCCTCAATAACCAGGAGCCTGCCACTGCTTTTGCTACCACCACCATGGTGGTGTCACAGCAGTAACTGCAGGAGGCCAGTGGCCATGGGACCAGACCACACAACAAGGAGCTCTGACACAAAGGGGGCTGCTTGATTTTAGACCACCTTTTCTTAAAAGGTGGGAGGTGTGAAAATATCTTGGACACATGTCCTTCATGAAAGAGAGGGCTGGTACAACCAAGGAAACTCTCCCCAACAGAACATTAATGGGAGAGAGCAGCAGATGTTTTCCAGGAACATTTTCTAGCAATGGAAGAGAATATATATTTTTAAGCAGATAAGAGGTCTGGAGAAGAAAAGAAAAATTAGGTTCTGAGGATAAGAAGGAAATGTTCCCTGGAGTGCCTGATGCAAGTTTTGTCCATATGAAACAGCTGATGCCTGCCAAAGGGAGGGTAGAAGGCTGTGTGGGCCTCTGGTCTGCTTCATGTGGCCCCCACAACTGATTTACACCTGCATATTCCTAGTTGCCTCTATTTTCACTGTGAGTAAATTTAGTTCCTTGTCTCTCACTCATAATTCTCAGCCCAAGAAGAAGAAGAAGATCCAAGTCCAAAACATACCCACACTGCCTTTTCCTGAGCACTAGAGCTGACAGCAGACACTGTATAAGATGAGCCTCTGCTCAAACCATCTTGGCTTCTGCTACCATGAAATGGCTCTCAGGTGCTTAGTGCTGGTGAGAAGAAAGTTGTGGTTCAGGGTCTGCTGCTGGTGCACTGATTCCTTCAGCCCAGAGGATGTCTCAGCTGCCTAAATAATTTGGAAAGGGCAATAACAGGAGCAGCACCTGCCCAACTCCTCATGAATGCCTGTCTTGTTCAGAAGGAGCAGTGATGCCAAACCCCTCGGTGCCTTTCAGCGTACGTCATACAGCAAAGCATCTGCACAAAACTGTGAGTGCCAGAACTGGCAGAGCTGCAGGAGCCAGGGCTCTGCTGGAAGAGGGAACAGAGGCTACATGTGCAGCCCAGCTGGTGAGTGCATGTCACATCTCATTTTCCCCTTCTGGTGGGACTGCAGACACGTTTACTGCCTGCTAGGTCATGAGATTATGTGGGGTTTCTTCCCTGAGGTGCCCAGGGCATATGGGAACTTTCCAAGAACATGGCCCTGGCCCTTACCTTCCCTGGAGGATTCTTTCTGTGTGATGGGTTGTTTGTGTTGTTCTCGAGGCTAGAATAGACATCAACTTGCTGCACATCCAGGCTCTGCACAGAGAAAAGAGAAGAAAGTAGGTGTCAAATAAAATACTTTGGTTTAATATAACTAATTACCCACTGGGTTGCTCCCCATAGAATGCCTGACATTTTTTAGGGACCCCTGCCACCTCCAAAATTTTGAAGTTCCTGACCTTAACTTGGGCAAACAGAAAATCCTTTTCCTCTGAAATCCCTATAGTACAGCTGCATCATCTTCTTTTTTTCAGGCTTACAGAGACAGGCTTTGATGTTGCCTACCCTGTGTAAGGCAGTGGAGAAGAATGCCAATGCCCCTGCCTCCCTCTGCTCCAGAATAGTCCCAGCATGCAAAGTTAAGTTGTGCACCAGGGTGACCACAGGTAAGAGGCAGTGCTCTGCACCACCCAAGACTGTTTAGGTGCCTGACAACCACAAGTTCTTGTTCATGTTTATTCTGGAGACACAAAGGTGAGAAAATGGGAGAGGCTGGGGGTCCTGAAGTGAAGAAGCTGTTGAAAATGAATACAATTTGTGTTTATTGTTTGTTGTTTTTTTTTTTTTCCCAAGCCAGAAGTCTCCTTTCTTCTTTGAATGAGCAAAGAATAATAAAAAAATCCATATGCTCCCAGGCCCTCAAACATTACCATGGTCCCACTCAGCTACACAGAGAAACACACACACACCCTGCATGCATATGCACCCGTTGTCCCCCAGGTAATCGTGTCACAAGAGATGCATGTCAGTTTGAGTGATATTCCAGATCTGCCTGAAGGATCAAACATAACAATCATGAGGACTTTTCCATGTGTGTTTCAAGGATGACAGCAGGTTGCCAAGGTGGCTGTTTCTCCGGCAACAGGAAGATGGGAGGAGCTGCTGCTGCAAGAGGGGCAGATGGTATTAGTGGAGAGCGAGGCACCCTGTAATGCAGTGAGGAGGATGAGTAAACATGGAGGATTCTTTGGGGCCTGCCAATCACTTGAACCCTCATAATTTCACGTGGAGTTGCAAACACTCAGCATCTTTAAGGATCATGGCCAGCAGGACAGAGCTTTGAACAGGGCCAGAGGATACAGAAGCAGCACTGGGAAATGAGCCTTGGAATAAACAGGCACTTAGACATGAGCTGGCCACAGTGCATGGGGAACCACATGGCTCTCACATTCCCACTGCTACTCTGGAAACAGTCAAATTATTTCACCTGTCTGCTTCCTGCTCCCAAAAACCTGCTCTGCCTGCTCAGACATCCCCACCATCTGCACGTGCACACAGAAAATTTTATTTCCTCACTCTCATTTTCAATTCTCTTTGTGATGCTCACAGTGACGACCTCGTCTTGTGTGCTGAGCTTCCAGAAGCCTGGCTCCATGTCCCCTTGGCAGGACAGACAGCCTCTTTCTCTACTCCAGTCTGAAGCTATTTGCAAGCAAGGTTCAAGTGCCAGGAAAGATTCCGTTCCCTCACATGCCTTCTTCTCATGCAGGCTGTTAACAGTGCTGGTCCTTTTCCGGCCAGTTGGAGAGCTGGTGTCTCCAAGCACCATTTGCAAGTTAATTACTTTTACCTGGTCACTGATCACCTGCTACTGTCACAGTGAAGGCACACAGGCCACTCTCCTCCCTGCTGACAGATGCCTTCCTATCCCTGAACAGCCTCCTGTCTCCCTCACACCTGGAAAATTTCCTGTGCTCTGGAACCTGACTGCACCTGCACTGCAGGAGTTCTGTTTGCTGCTCAAAAAAAGCTTGTTTGAAGTGTAAAACAGATGAAGCAAGTCCCTCAGATTGTTATTTCCAAGCTGCTGGTTAACTGAGCAGCTAAGCTGGAAGTCAGAGGATATGCAGGTTTGGTTCTGGGCAGTGCAGTGAGGTAGAGCTACTCTACAGCTGCAGGAGGGCAGAGAGGTCAAGGAAGGCAGGATAGAGAGAACAGAGTGGGCTCCCAGCTGCCCCCTTATTACCAGGCTTTCTGCTATCTTGTATACTTTCCATTGCATACAGCCACCCTCAGGGACCACAAAATATATAGTGGCACCTAGAAGAGCCACTGGGGAAGGTATTTTCTCCCAGGAATGTTCAGCAGGACAACTTTGCAGAAGGTGTGTTAGGACCCTTCCCACACCAGGGATGAGCCTTGCTACCGTGTAAGATAGCACAGAGGGTTTAATGAGCTGTGCCAGCCAGTTCCAACAGCATCTGTTACTTTGATGTCCACTGCTGCCTCCTCTTGCTTCTGCTCCCAGCTTCAGACTTGCAAGGACACTGTGCTTCCCTGGCCTCACCTTCCTCCAGACTCCAGCCTCTTGCTTTCCCACACAGACAGCATGGCTAGCATGTGCTGGTCTCCTGTCCAGCCCCTGATCTCTGACCTCCTTCTTTATCTCATCACTGGGAGCTACTTTTCACTTGTCCTTCCTTTTTTTGCCTTGCCTTAGATTACCCTAATGCTGATCACATATTTTTTCCTTCCCCATGAATTAAGCACTGAGTTCAACCCCCACCAATAGATTTTCACAGCTCACCTATTTCAAACACAGTTTGCAGGGCTGAGTTTACACCATGCAGAGCCCCAATAAAATTTAGCTGTGGAGCACCAGTTATCATTTAAAGGAAATAAGATTTGTCAACTTTCTATTCCCTTCATCTGTTGTGAGGGCCCATCCAACGCAGATTTCCATCCCAGGGCTCTCACCCTCTCTCCTCCCCTGCCCATTATGCCTCGCAGGGCTGTGCTTGCTGCTCTCCACATCACAGCCCTGCTCTCAGCCTGTGCCTTGTCTGGAGTGGGAGTTGCTGCTTCAAGCCCTCCCACTGCAGCAGTTGCTCCACAACAGAGGAAACTCCCATGGGCAGACTCGTACCCCCCAGCATGCAGGAGATGGTCCCAGGCTGCTTGCAGCCCTGCCAAAGAAGGCCAAGCCACCTGCCCTGCACACCGGGCTGGCCACGAGCCCTGAACAGCTGGTGTGTGGTTAACAGGCTTCACAGCAAGGCTTCTTGGGCCAGCTCCATAGGGCTCCTGCAAGCACAGGGGCTCAGTCAGCTCCTGGGATTGCCTGTGCCTAAGGCTGGCTCTGCTGGCTTGCTATATTAGCCTTAGTGGAGCCTGAACAGAATAACATGATGAAACATGTAATTAAGATGGAGCTAAGGATGCATGACGAGGCCGACTGAGCGAGAAATGGATTTGATTTTTTTTTTGTCTCCTTGCAGAAATCATCCACTTCAGCAGGAAACTACCCATTCGGATTTTTATAAGCCTGAATTAAAAAGAAATTACTTGATACAAATGAAAAGGTTTATAACCTGCAACCTCCTTTACCCAAAGCATTGCTTTTTGCCCAGAATAAATATATCACATACAATACACAGTGCTCTCTTTTAAACTGCTACTCCAAAAATTAAAGGGCCACAAAAAGGTGCCCCCCCAACCCCACAGAGTGAGAATGAGAAGGGGCAGGCTCATCCTCTTGTAGGTGTCTGCCCCTGATCAGGTCTCCTGCCTCCCTGGCAGAGATTATCTCCTCTCTGTAGCACATTCTCCAGAGCTTTGCTTTGTTTAGTTTAAATGATTAATGCAGCAGAGCTCACAGGTTTTCCTTGGAGAGACTTTTCCAGCCCTTGTAGACCTCACAGACAGAAAGGTTTCCTAATATTCAGGCAACATCCTTCTCTACTCACTTTCATTTTATTCCTCCTCGCTGGTCCCACAGATCACAAGAAAAAAAACCTAACCCTTTCCTTCTTAGTGGAGCAGCCATCCCATAGGCGTAAAAGAAGAGAAAGGAATCCATATAAAATGGAGCTGGACAGGTTGTAAATGGGATCAGGAGTCACAGTTACTTGAGGTAGCTGAGGTCTAGGCCTGACATTTCAGGGGAGCTACTTCAATTCTACTACCTAGGACACTGTGGCTACAGGAGTGGGAGCAGTGGCTCAAGTGTGGCTCAAGGAGTGGGAGCAGTTTGGGAAATGGAAAAGGAGATCCTATACAATGAAAAGGGAAATGCTTAAAAAAAGAAACTCCCTTTACTTTCTCCTTGTCCATCTCCCCCTGCTAGCTAGTGTGTCTGCTCAGGACTGCAGTGGTCTGTGACACTGACACCAGTGAAGATGCCACAGCAGAGGCCCAAAACAGCTGAGGGTTGGTCAGGGCATAGCGTCTGTCCCTTTCCTGAGGCATCATTCTCCAGATGGGAAGGCCATGCCCTTGTGACACTCTGCAGTACAAAGTGGGGCTGAGAGTCCCTCTTCCTGACTTTTGGAGACCCTTCTACCTCTTCCACCAGGAACCCTCCCTGGCCCCACACTTGCTGCTCTGTGCTGCTCAGCAGGGCGTGGGGCAAAGCTCGGGCACTGGGGAGGCCATGCCTGGGACTGGGATGGAACACACCCAGTCCTGAGGGAAGCTAAGCAGGGCAAGGTCACCAAGACCAGGCTGGTATGAAGATATTGCTTACGTTTCACACCATGACACTGGCATTGTCTGTAGCATGGCAGGGAAAGGAAGGGTTGTACCGTGCTGTGGACAGAGGAGCTGAAGGGTGATTCTGGTACTCACGTCATAGACAGGAGGGGGTAGTGGTGGTGGGCTGGCTGAAGGGAGCTGTGTTTCCACCTTGTGTCTCAGGATATTTGGCTGGTTCCTTCTAGGGCACAACACCTGCTCAGGACAAGACACCAAATGACACATTTGGAGAAAATCACATGTCCCCAAAGCTAAAATGAATACCAATGTCATATCAAAGCCAGCTGTTTGCACACCTCCTGAATGCTTCCACAAGAAAGAGTGTTGGCAGTGTCTGTACAACATGTGCTGGTTACTTTCCTCACTAAGAGCAGAATCCAGTGACTTACACTGGACCAGTGGAAAGGAGAACTGGGCTCTGTGTGTACATATAAAGCACTTTCACCACCAAAACCTTACTGGCTGAAGGGTGTTAAGTACTGAGCAGCACAAAACAATGCTATAAGACAGGGAGTAAAGCAGGGCACTGGTCATAGTGCAGAGAGGAATTTCAGAGAAGCAAAATGAAATTACTTTTATCAGGATTTGGCAGGGAAGCTTTTCCTAATACAAAGAGTCTACAGAAGAGCACCAGACAATCATTAATGGTGATATCTAGTCAGTGATACATGGATGCACAAGTCCAGCATGGAGTTGAAAGAAGAAGGTACCCTCGTCTGAATATTTCTTGCATCACATGAGTTCTCCTTGAACCCATTCCGTGCACACACAGAGAAGGGTTAGCCCTGCTCAGCAAGCAAGAGAAGAGGCAGAAAAGGCAGAAGGCTTTGCTAAGTATCTCTGTTCTAATTCAGAAAGAAGTGGGATGATTATATTCACATCACATGAAAACGACAAACTGCTTTCCAGTCCATTAGTAACTAAGGAGGATGCTAAATAGCTTCTCTTAAAGATAAACATTTTTAAACCAGCAGGTCTGAGCAAGCTGTGGTGAGAAATATGGGCTGTGTTCTGCAGGAGGGCAAATGTAATGACTGCACAATCTCTTCAGACCCCAAGGAGAGGCTATAAGTCTGAGATTCACTGGCCCACCTCAAAACCCAGAGATGCCAATCGGTGAGTCGTGACAGTGCCTCCCCTCCTCATCCCCACAGAAACACTCCTGAGGCAAACAGAGATGGGGGCCTGTCTCCAGCTGACTCCCTTTGCCTCTCACACTCTGTCCCCCACATCAGACTGCCTGCAAGGTAAATCTCACGAGATAAGCTGGGCTGCCAACTGCTGCCGTGCTGTTTTCAGCCTCATGATCTCTGGCTGTGTGTGCTGAAACCTGATGCTCCTTGGAGTCGAAGGACTGGACATGCAGCACAGCCTCCACATAAAAGAGCATGCACAGAGTCTGCTGTTGGGGTGGCAGAGAGCAGCTTCAAGGAGTTTGGAGCATACTCTACCTAGAAACCAACAATCCCAAATTCCATTCCAGAAGATGTATGGGTATTTTCAGGCCTGCCTTGAGATCTCTGGAAGAATGCAGATGATGCTATTGGAACACCTGAGGGTGGCAGTACTAGAAGCAGTAGGTTTTCCCCAAACAACAGGGATTCCAATATTATTACTCCAGGGTCCATCTCATCCAGCTCTTCTAGCTCTGCTTTTGGCTTTTCTTCTCCCACTCTTCAAATCCTTTCTTCCCCACTCCTTTTGCTCTCAGCTTCCCAGATTCCACTTCCTTACCCAGCTGGTCCCAACCTGGGACACCAGTCTCCTCACCCAAGGGGCTCTGGCAATCCAGTCCTAAGACCCTCCTAGTGCTTCCTCACTCCATATTCCAGTCCCAATTTCCCCCCTGAGGCTCATTCTTCCAGCCTACAGAATCACTGCTAATGGAAGGTGTCCCTGGAGATTGTACAGTCCAATCCTCATCCCTTTTTTTTTTTGTTTTTCCCAGTTATTTGTAATTTTCATACAAGCTTCCTTGAGATCCTTGCCCTGACCTTTCCCTTTCACTCTGTCTCTTAATGTTTTCTCTGCCAAACAGCTGTCCAAGGCATTGGTCCCCATCCCCATCACTCCACAGAGTTTTTTTCCTATGGTGTCCGAGCTCAGGAATGCAGTTCCAGACTCCTTGAAAGAGTAACCTCCAATTTGAAAGAGGATTAGAAATAGGGAAAGTCCTGCCACAGGGTTGTAACAGATTTGCCTGGGTGCACAGGACATTACTTGTCTAACTGGCTCCTTCACAGGGGTTTTAGGCAACTGAACTGGTAAATTGACAAGAGCCATGACTGAGTATGCACAAACTGCAATTTTCCAAAATCCCATCACAAGGCTACATCTCCTGGAATATTCTCAGGGCCAGCACACTGCTAGTGTGCCCTCTTGCACTGTGTCAGTGCAACTGTGTGACTACAGCAGAGCATGCTGTAGTCAAAATGACTGCCAGAATTTTTTTAATGGGCAAATCACTTACTCATTTTGTCTTTACTGTAGTCTTTTTTTCTCAGAAAAACTTAAGAAAATAAACTGGATCAGACACCCAGCATGGGAAATTTCAGCATGGGGACTTTCTATTCAGCCAAGTTAGAAAAAAATGGAATTAATTCCTAGGATGCACCAGGTATTGCTTTTTATTTGGTTATTACTTGCCTTTCTTTTCCACAGAAGCAGAGCTGTTGCGGTGATGCTCAGTACAGCAAGAAGAACAGTAAGGGTAACGAGGATTTCCCACCCATAAGAGGTATTTATGTATCCTGTATCTGTAAGAAAGAAGGCAAAAAGGTTCACAATGTGAGTGCAAGCTGTAACCCTGCTGTATTTTTAACCCTGGAAAGAGCCTTGAGGAAACAAAAATACAGGAGTGCAGAATATAGTGGCAGAAATGCACACACCCTTCAAACATACTCTGACTGAACAGAGGGCAGGGTGCAGCTGCAGAATCACACAGAAGATGCAGGGTATAAGCAGCTCCACTTCACAGAGGGTGGTGATATAACTGTGAGAGACAAGAAATTTGGTAGACAGAGGCTGGCAAAGGTCTTTTTGTGCTAGGAGCAGAAAGACAGATGGTGGAATGCACATAGGCCACATGAACTGGGAGGACGGGTACTGCAGGTATCCTCTGACCAGGACAGCAAAGCTACTTCATCACAGCTCTTTGCATTTGGATTAACAAGTTCTTCATATCCAACACTCATTAATGCACATCCAGCCAGTCAGCAGAGTGCACTTCCTTATCACTTTTCACATTCCTCTTATGTTGCACCAAGCTTTCCACTGTGCTCACTAACAGACCAACCAACTCCCTGTACCAAATGGAAAAGAGGGAGGCATGTTGGTGAGGCCATAACCTGTTCATAAGTCCCTAAAACTGAGCATGCTGAATCTGTACATGTGGTAACAGCAAGCACCCTAATGAGTGACCTTATCAGCTGCCTCTGTCACACTGCTGAAGGACAAACCACACTGTCTCCTGAACACTGACACCTAAAAGCACTGTTTGATCCAGTGTTCAGGGTCCCTGGATAGATCAGGGTCCCTGGATAGATCCTGACTCCCCTCTGGCAGGGCAGATATAAATTACTGCCTCTTTATGTTCCCATCTATACATTGGGAAGAGCAGAACACCTGTGCCGAGTGCATTTCAACTCTGATGGCAATTTGTATTGGGCATAAAGCATTATTCATACCTGACTTCATAGCATGCATGGAAAGAGAAAAACAAGAGCAAAGATCAGGTTTCCATAGCCAGATACAGCTGATTTTTAACTTCCTGCCCTTACTTTCTGTTTTTTTACTTACCTCTAATATGGACAAACACTCCCTTTCCCACTTTTTGGATATCATTCCATTTGACCTTGCAGTAGTATGTGCCAGTAGAAGAGGTGTTTTCAAGTGTCATGATTCTGTAGTTGTAATGTAAGGCAGCAGTCTTATTCTCTTTCCCAGAAGGAATGGCTACATTTTCCTCCTTACTATAGATAGATGTCTTCTGATGCAGTGAATTAATCCAGTAATAGTCAATTGAAAATTTGGTGTATTTAGGCATGTAAGGGAAGATGACTTCACAGGGGATGGATATTCCTTCCTTGAGCAAGGCAACCTGGATTGGAGGTTTCTGCTGTACATCGACATCTCCTCCTGTAAAGGTAATAATTGTTAGCAGTCACCTAACCTCACTTTTAGTGAGGAGAGGGTGGCTGCCCCAAAGACAGGATCACTCTGAAAACAACCACACACCAGGAAGCATGCCCACAGCACGCAGTGCTGGCCCTTGTCAGAAGCTGAGTGATTCAGAGCATGTGCCCTGTGTGATCTGCCACATCTCTTGGGTAATTGCTGTCTGATCCATGATAGCCTGCTGCATTCACAGGCTTCCCCTTTTCTCTTGTGAGCTCCTCCACACAACAGCAGCACACAGAAAGACAGGAAATTAAGCAGGAAGTGAACTGATTTTGCAGTGGTGTATGAACATATTTACAGCAGGTGAATAGAAAGCAATTTTCCAAGATAAATGCTAGCTGGACATCTCCTGAAACTCCCAATGTATAAATGATGTTTGGGAATCTATGTGTGGCCCTGTGCTGGCTCTGTGACAGAGGTGTTGTACACAAGCAAGTGTTATCAGTGGGGCTGTGTATTTCTGAATAGACAGTGAGGAAGAATATTGCATATTCCATATAGGGGGCCACCATGAGAAATAAGCCACAGCTTAATCACTCCAAGCCTCTGCTGCTCTAAAACAGGAGCAAAGCACAAGGCTCAATGTTAGCTACAGGAACTATCTGCAGATGACTGCAGATCTTCAGTATTTATACATTACAGTATCTCAGGCAGAGATGAAACATGCCCTTCTTATGCTTCCTTCTAATACATCCAAGGCAGTTTAAAGTAATCTATCACTGTAACTCAGCAGACAATGTCAAAAGTTAAAAGAAAGGACAACGAATAAGATGGGGGAACACACCACAGTTCACTCCCTGTTTTGTTTAATAAAAAGGAAAAAAAAACCTAAGAGTGAGCCACAGGCTAGTAAGGAGACTGGGGTACAGGACTTCTTTGGTTCCCAGACAAAGGGTTCAATATCAGGCAGTCTCTGGATGTATTTATTTGTCAACTGATATAACACCACATATAAAGCAACTTAAGAGGAGGCTCTTTGAGAAAGGAAACTGGAAACTTACAAGTCTTCTCACAAAATGAAGGATTCTTTCAGAGACATGAAAAGAGAAGAGGGAAAAAAGGGTAGAGAGAGAAAGTAGGGGATGGGCAGGCTTTTCCATTTATGTTTTTGATGGGATTCCCTGGAGTTCTGCATCTATGAACAGGCTCATAACAAGGTATTAAAGCTGTCCCAGAGCACAGCCAGGCTTGCTTTTCTGCCACCAGGGACTAAGGCTGCATCACAACAGCAGTGTCACCTCAGCACAGCAGCAGCTGGCATTGGAAAAGGCAACTCAGCCTTAGCACTGCTGAATGCTGAGCACTGAGGATTCGTGGTGGGGGACAACAATGGAGAGAGGGCACAGCTACTGCCCAGAAAGGACTGCTGGGAAGTACCATGTGTTAAGGAAAATTCTCTGTACATCACACAGCCAGGTACAACAGCCTGACAGTAAGGAAGAGCTTAGGTTACAACACCAGAGAAAGGTTCTTGGCTGTAAAAGCAAGTGAGATACATACAGTAGTCCTCAGGGACATGCTCAGTCCTGTGTATACTAGCTACAATATTATGGAAAGGTGGTAATAAAAGCCTGCAGACACTGTGGGTGTGATAACCCAGCTGGCTTATTCTGGGCCATAGTTTTCAAAATTATTCATCATCCTTCTCATCTCTACATAGCAGAACACACATGAATATAGTTTCCATGTAAGACACAGCTAAGCACTACTGTAACAAAAGAGAGGAGAGATCCATCTTCTCATATTATCTCAGAAGCCACTAGGTTGAAAAGAACATAACGAGGAAAAAGCCAAACCATTTTATTTAGGTTATCTAACCCTTCTCCCATGTTCCCCCTTTCTTGAGGATTCACTCTCTTAGCTTTGAAATGCTTAAAAGACAGAAATAGCAGCAGCGTGCAAATTCCTAGAGGGGATCTCTGGAAATTAGCAAAAGATAGCAGCTGGAACTGCTCCAATAAGAAAAACATGAGAGTAAACAAAAGGAATTAAAAAGAAAAATAGCTGTTTACCTCCACAACGAAGCAACCAAAGAAACAGGAAGATGACTTTTAGATTTGGGATCATGACGGGTAGGTCAAAGGCTGTAAGAACGCAACCAGACACAAAGATCCAAAAGGCAGAGGAGGTGGGGGTTTGTCAGGTATTTTCATGCCAGGGCAGCTGGTTGATCCCCTCCTGCTTGTGAAGGGACAGGCGAGATGTACACACACCGCATTTGGCAAGCAGTTCCTGGCAGATGCAAGCTCTTCTGCTTTTTGGTCAGACTCCTCCCCACACCAGGGCTGACTTCTCTGTACTACAAGGATGGTGTCAGACCCACTAGCGGGTGTCCAAAGACTAGACCACAAGCACTGTAACACACAGAGCTTTGCTTCCTGATGACTGTAAAACATCGCATGCATTTACAACAAACTCTGTCACCTTCCACTAAGTGTGGGATCACCTGTTTTGCCTTCAACACAGAGAACGAGTACACACATGAGTAGTCAATAGAGAGAAAAAGCCTCTACTGTACCCCTGACTCCACAAAACAGCCCTCCAAAGCCGACTTCTCCACTAGGTCCCTTCAGAGGAAGGCACTCACATTCACAGAGTGAGAACAACCAGACGCAAATTTGTGCTGAACAGCTGGACCATTTCAGATCCACACCATGTTGGCCCTGACTCAGCTTCGCAATGCAGACAAGCTTTAAGTAATCTATTGTAGGCAAATCTAAGGAGAGCCCTTTGAAGGAGAAAAACCACGTTTTGTGGGAGGCTCCTGCCGCCTATACTCACGAAGAGTCTTTGATTTTCAATGAACGCTTGTTTTTAGCTAAGACATCTGCAATGCAACAGCTGAGCAGCATCTGACTCATAAAAACTCCTGAGGCTGAGAGGTCTTCACTTCTCTTTAGGCAGCTTCCGCCTTTCACACTTCTTGTGAGACAATTGCACTGTCCACAGGAAAGCACTTTGCTGCAATTTCAAGGGTGCCCATTCACATGGGGCGCTGTGCTGCAGACACTGGTGTGGGACGGTCATGTGGGGAAAGACCTACGGCAGCAGATGAGCCTGTAAGCTCCATGTATTCTAAAACATCAGCTGTTTTATGCCTCCAGACTTTATAGGAACGAGGTTTACTCCAAATAACTTTTGGTTTACAGCATTCTTCCTCCTGTTTAGCCTGGGACAGGTCCCCAGGAGGAAGGAGGGACATGTAGCTGCACAATGCCCAGGGATGGCTCCAGTACTTCTCCGAGAGCCCTGACAGATGGGGAGAGGAGAAGTGGCTTTGTGTGGCTCTGCTGCACAAAGTGGTGCAGCAGCTGCACTCCTCCAGGGAAGGTTTAGCTCAGATTAGCCAAAACCAACGCCTCTCCCCAAGACATGCTGATGTGAGCTGCACGGGGCTGGTCTCAGCTGGAAATCACTCCTCACAGGTCTTAATGCTGAGCAGCAAGGACAATGAAAAGCAGTAACAAGACACTTGGGGCCCACTTGGTATTTCAGATATGGAGGCACAGATCAGGCAGCAGTGGCTCTGGGGTCACAACAGTATTCAGAAGCCTTTCTCAGGCCTGCACAGCATCTCAAGGTGGTTGGGGCAGGGAGAGAGAAGGAAGAGGGGCTCACTACCTTCCAGTGGAAAAACTCCACTGAATAGTGAGGGCTTCCTCGGCACTTATATCACGCTCATCCCCATGGTAGCACGCAGCTTTGTAATTTCCAATATTGATGTATTTCTAGAGGACAGAACATGCTGCTCCTGCCAGTGATGTGTTTTAACTGTTATCAGCATTTATCTGCTTCAGGAATTCAGGTGATAGGTGGATTAAGAGCGGTAGGTTTGTAGGGCTGCTAGGTCAACATCATCCTTCCATCCTTTCTGTTCTCTTCCTATAAACAATCCTGTTGCCACTCGAAATGCCAAGTCCTAGAAATATCGCTGTCTGGAATTTAAAAAAAAAATTCTAGCATTTCAAAAGAGATCACACATAAGACTCAGCTGTGGGATTAAAGGCACAGCCAGGCCAGAAATACATTCACTGCTGGGATTTGCTATGGTAGAGCTCACTGAAAAGAAATGGCTTTGAAACGACTACCCAGCAGCTATTAACTGCGAGACAGGATGACATTCTGTTCCTTAGAGCCTAAAGGGAGCCTGAATCTTTGAATGTTAAATTCTAATTCAATTTGGTCTGGGGATTCTGAACTGAGTTTTAGCCCTGGAGACATAAATGGGAGGAAGATGAGGAAAAGCTGGGGAGTTGCTATTACCAGCCAGTAGCAGGACTGAACTGATCTCCCCAAAACTTACGTGGAACTAAACCAGGATACCTGTGCCAAAGGAAATAAATTAAAAAGCACCAAAGAAACGGGTCACTGTATGACCTTCACTCATGTATTATACAGTAGGTTGGTGCATGTGAGCCAGTCTCTACAGCATGATGAGGAGAGAACAGCCTGGCCAGCTGTAAACCCACCACAGCACTGACTGGCTACGACCTGTATGGCTTGGTCCTTCCCTTGATGCAGCAAATGCTGACACTTCCTGAAATTAAATACAGGATTGGGGTAGATTCAAGCCTGTTTCTGCCTGTAGCTGAAAAGTGGATATTAATTTCACTGAAGCACTTTAAAAAGCTCACAATAGTGGCCAGCATTCCCAAGCGTGAGGAAAAGCACATTGTTCCTGCATGCATGAACAACAAGTTTGGGCAAGTGCTGCACCTACCAGAAGTGCCTGTTCACAGCTGTGTCCAATGTACACCCACAACTCCAGTCACACACACGAGCCCACACATGCCCCCACAGCCAACTCCAGGGAAAGCATTAATTCAAACAAAAAGGCTGCTGCTAGCCAAGGCAAAAGCAATGCTGCAGAGACCACAACAAAGCCTCTTTATTGCTGAAGCGTTTAACACCACAACCATCCAAAAGAGAAACACCGCCTGGCACACAGAAAAGCTGCAGCAGCTCAGCGAGCCTGATTGCACAGAGCGCTTCAGAGCATTCCCCAGCACGGCAGCTCCGGGTTTGCTGCCTTGTCAGAGACCAGCTCAAACCCCCATCGCTGGAAAGGCAGCCAGTGGCAACATGTGCACCTCTGAGGATTCACAATCTCTTTGACTCATCTAACCCCAGACTCCAAGGCACAGAGTTTCCCTCTGTCTGGCAGCAGGAGTGATAGCAGAGCCAGCGTGAGCAGGACCGTACCCCTGCCAGCATTTTTACCACCGTTGTGTGTCGAGTGCCTCTCAGCAGGGCCGCATGATGCTGAGGTAAAAGCTGCCAATGCCCTCACGACATCTCTACCCACTGATGTGCTGCAGGGAAGAGAATGATCAGTGACTTGATGGGAAAACGGAAAATTAGAGGTGTTGACATCACCATGGGGAAGGGAGGGGACAGTTCTCTAATTCCCTTTCACCTGCAAAACAAGTCTGCCTTAGAAATCACCCACTCCTGCTTTTCCTCTGCTCACCTGCTGGAAAGATTCCCAGAGACTAAGTTACCACCACAGGCCTGACGCACTCTCAGGGCTGTGCCTCAGCCTCGCGGTGAATCCCACCCGCTCTCCTTCACTGGCTCCTTGTGTGGCAAGCTGCGGCCAGCGGGAATTCGCCTGCTGGGAGAGCTTTGCCTACTCAGGGTGACACCTTCCACAAGAACACCCACCTGGCCGGGCCTGGCGCTGACGCGCGCCCAGGGCGGAGCGGGCCACATTAGGTCCACCTGATCCAGGGGGTTAAACCTTCCCCCGGGCAGCCCCCCGCCGCCTGCGGGAGGCAGAGCCTCGCACACCGAGCCCGGTCGGGCCGTGCCGCGGTGGCGGGGCGGGCAGGGACGGGCGGTGGCCGCGCCCGCCGCCCCGCGCCCTCGCCCACAAGATGGCGCCGCCGCCCCGGCCGCCCCCTCCCTCCTTCCCGCGCCCGCCCGCCCACCACGGGCCCGGGGCACCGGAGGGGTTGCAACCCTGGAGAGAATGAGCGCAACTAGGATCCACTTAAGGCAAAATTAATGCTAATTAACCGTAATCAACAGCTCGAGGAACAACTTTGACTCGGCAAGCTGCAGGTACTGCAGCCGCAGTTCGCCCGTCAGGCAGGGGCAGCAGAAGACGGGTGTGGGAAAGGAAAATGAACGGCTCTGCCGCGGGTGTAACCCATCCCCGCGGGGCCCTGCCCGGTCATCCCCGCACACCTCTTGCCCCACACAGCCCTCGCAGCCCTCTCTGGCAGCGGCAGCAGAGTCACTGCTGCTGAGCCCTTTCGGGGGGCAGCAGCCCCAGCCGGGGGGCAAAGCACAGCGAGCTGCCGGCAGCGCTGCCTCCAGCCCCGGCACCGCCTCCGCACTCACGAGCCATCCCTTCTATGCCGAGGGTGCTCTGGAAACTCCTGCCAGTGCTAGTGAGGAGCACAGTTTTGTTATGAATGACCATTCTCAACTTGCAGAGTGCTTCCCACCACAAGCAAAGCCCAAGTACCTATTTCGTCCCAGTGACCAGTGATCCTGCACTAGTCAGGGTGCTGGCAATGGTGTTCAGCTGGCTGTGGTTGTCTCAGCAGGGGCAGGCTCAAAGGAGCATCCCAAACAGCCAGACTCGCATGCCTCGACAGGCCCCCGTGGGAGCATGAGTACAGGAGCAGCAGACACACAGCCCTCCCACGGTCACAGGATGTGTCACCAGCCCCTCCATGCCACGACCAGGCCAGCCCAAACGTTCTCATATTAGCAGCAAAAATGCTGGGGGTGGGATGCTGGGCAGGAGCAGGGCATGCTGCCAGCAGTGCTCTCCTACAACAGGAGCCCCTGAGCCCCTGCTCGCCAGCGGCATGCCTTGAGGTGTGCACATCAGGCTCTGAAACTGTCCTGAGTGAAGGGCTGTGCATCCCCCCTGCTGCGGGTGGAGGGGGGCAGGCAGGCAAGTTTTGCAGGTGCTGGATGCTGTGCAGGGCACACACAGGGAGGATCATGTTGGACAAGATGGCAGCAGTTGCAAGGGAGCCGCAGGACTGGCTCCTGCCAGCAATGGCCTCGCCAGATGGCCCTTCTGGTCCTGTCTGTGCAGGAAAACTCCTTGGGCCTCAGCCCTGCTTCAAGCCAGCCAGCTGTGCTAACCCCAGCTCCCTGCAGCCTGGCAACAATTCCTGACTGCCCCCAGGTACCCAAGCCTGCCCCACAGCTGACTCCCAATCTAAGCTTCTTCCCCCTGAGCTTGTTCAAGAAATCCCTGCACTCTCTTTCACCAAAACCACCTCATTCCCTTGCTGCTCTTTCTCTCCCTTTTTTCCTGGCTGTTGTTTTTTATTTCTTTTTCCTTTTAATGTCTTCCCCCTTTTTGGTTTCTTTTTGGGACCCTTTCTTCAGCCTGCAGGAGCTTTTCAGCTCAGGACATTGGGAAGCAGAACAGGCAGCACAGCTGCAGTGACCTTGGGAGCCAGCATGGACCCCCACAGCTGACACTTGAGTGCACTCACACCCTGCTTTAGATTGGCACAGCTTTCCTCATCACTCCAGGCTTCTACCAGCTCCCAGGAGGAAAGCTGGGAAAGGATTAAGTAGCTAAGTATCTCATTGGCAAGTGAATATATTGTTTTTTCTTTCTATTAATTCCTCAACTTTGCTTTGATTGTGGACTGTGGAGAATATGCAGGCTGATACAGCTGTAATAGCACACCCTCCTAGGGTGGAAAAATATAATTTTGCCACCAGGCCCTATTCTGGCTATGAAAACTAAATAAAGGATCCTGGCAAAAACATGTGCTGGAAGAACCACATCTCTGCTAGGATTTTTGCCAATACAGAAATGTGTTTCATTCTGTTTTTCTCCCTACCCCTGAATTTCCCACCTGCTGGCTACATTCCTGGCTGACTGAACTACAGGACAAGGATTTGTAGTTTTGACCTAATGCAAGAGAAACATCATTGGGTTTTGTTTTTCAAACCCAAAGCTTTTCAGATACTTACAGATCACTGCTGAGTGTACTGGGAGCATCCAAGGCTGCTGCAGGCCATGGGGACACTTGGGAGGGGTTTTGTGAACCTCCCTGTGGGCCTGGAGGTAAGGCACTGAGCCTGAAGCCACTCCAACCCCTCCAATGGAAGGACTTTCCCTGGAGAACTGCATGATGACAGATGTGGAT